TACCGGTTTCCTCTGATGCCCCTTAGATGCCGGTGTTTGCTGCCGGCTGCATCCCTGGTCCCCTTCTCTTTACCGAGCTGCTCTCTGAAAAACCTGAGCCAGGGCAGCCCCCCCCCCCCCCCCCCCCCCCCCCCCGCTTCGGTTCTGTCCCCTCACACAGCTGCGCTCCTGTCTCCTAAGACTGGCATCTCCAATGCAGCGTGTAAACCCAGCCGGCAGCTCCGCTCCCCTCCCCTCGTGCGCCACACCTGAGCACATGGTTTTGGTTCTGCTTCCAGTCTGGGTGCGGAAGGTTAACATCCCTGGAGCTTATGTGCTAATGGGGAGTAAGAAACAAATGAGTAAATAAAAAATATTATTTCATATAATGATTACGCTACAAAAAAGAACAGAGTAACTGAGGTGGGGTGTGTTTTAGATATGAGATAAGAGACCTGAACAAGCAATAGCCTTCTAAAAGACTTCCACATCTTGGTCCCGCCCTCCCCAAGTCCACTGTCCACCTTGCTTCAAGATTATGCTTTTGAAAATGTCAATTTGGTCACATTACTCTCCTGCTAACATCTTTGGGTAGTTCCCCACTGCTCATACGAAGCAAACTTCTTACTACAACAAATGGCCTTTCCTGGCCTGAGACACCCAGGTCATCTCCGTCACGCAGATTTGAGTGCCTACCATGTGCCAGGTGCTACTCCAGGTGAGAAGGACCCAGTGAGAACAGGGCACACAAAAATCCCAGTACTCATGGTGCTCCTCACTCTGAGAGATGTAATAAATGAATATGCAAATAAGTAAACAAGAACTTTAGATAATGACAAGTGATATGAAGAAAATAAAATGACCTAGTGAAGGTAAGTAAAATGGTCAGGGAAGGCCTCTTAGAAGTGATCTTTGAGGTAAGGTCTGAATGATGGGAAAGAGAGAAGTCTCAGGAAAGAGAGCTCCAGACAGAGAGGAAAACAGGTGCAAGGCTGCTCCTTCCAAATGCGGAGCCGGCGGAGTGCGCAGGAACAGAGAGCAAGCCCTGGCGTGTGGCTGGAGCCCAGGACGGAGGAGGGAGGTCTGAGTGGGAAGGTGGCTAACGCTGGGGCGTGGTGCCGTCCCTACGTCATCCCGATTTGCAAAGGAAGTACGGTGGATGCTTCAGACACAGCAGTCTCTCAGCCCCTGGCCTCCCACTCGGGGCTCCTACTCTCTGCAAGCCCGGCTGAGAGCCTCTGGGAAGCCTTCCCTGACTCCCCTCTCTGCTACCCAGTCTCCCTCCAGCTCCTTCATGCCAGGGGTGCAGCAGTTCTGCAGGGCAGACAGATCAGGATGCACCCCAATTACTACGCATACCTCTGCGTCGGCCGCGGCCTGGGAGCCTCCTGAGGCTGTTTCCCCTCTCAGGTTCTCACCATCTCTCCAGATACCAAAGAGGCATTTGATAAAGGAAAACTATTCTCTACCAATAACAACTATCAGAATGTGTTTGACAGAAATTAAATCTGTTGATATATGATTCTTTGGAGCTATTCTATCATAGCAGCTACTTATACACTTGAATCTGATTTTCAATCACTGATTCAGCAAATATTTATATAGCAATTTGTGCCAGGAGCTGGGGACACGGCTGTGAGCAGAGAGACATCTCATCTTTGCCCTTAGGAATATATTTTCTACCAGGGAAGTCAAACAAATAATTCTCCAATTGCCTACTTGTACCAGGAATAAGTCCTATGAAGGAGGAATACTGGGCCATGAGTGTATTTCCCAGGGAGGCCCTGCCTACCTGGGGTCGGGAGAGGCTTCTTTGAGAAGTGACAATGGAACTGAGCTCTGAGGGATGAGTCAGGACCAACAAGGAGGGTGAACATTCCCCACAAAGCGTACTATACGTTCCAGGTTTCCAAGGCAACGTCAAGTGTTTAAGGGCAGTGTGGTGGAAGAACAAAGACAGACGGTTGCACAATGAAGCGCATCTCAATTCACAATGTGGCAGAAGACCGTCTGGAACACGGATCTCGGGTAGCAGCATAGATTCCCCTACTCACTGAGCAGTGACTGAGGTTTACTGTCTCTCTGCCAACAGTACATGGAGAAATGGAGAAAAACCAGGAATGGCAATACTGAAATGAACTGCCTGAACCCTCTAACACATATACCATTCCGTGGCTCTTCATATTATTTTGTGTCATAAGTAATTGGTAAGAACCATTAACAAAAAGTACCAAGTACTACAAAAAAAAAGAGGTTGTGGGCACCGTGCGAACACATGATTTATGGGCCTGCATTAGGAGACAGCTCCCTGAGGCTGGTGCTCACATCCACCTGTGGATTCAGTCCAGCAGCCAGCACAGTGCCTGCCTCCCTCCAAGTCCCGAGAGAGTGGATCCTGGTGCCTGGCCTCCTAGTTTATGTCACTGACGCACACACCCTGATCTGAGGTTGGTTGGCAGAAGCCTCCCTGAGAGACAGAGGAACTGAGGAAACAAAACAGTTCATGATTTTTTTTTAGAACAAAAGGAATTTAAAGCAATCAAAACGGGGGAGATATCATTTAGAGTAATTTTAGAATACTGGGGGTAGTGGAAGGAGCATATGATTAAATATATTCAAGAAATTTAAACCTAAAGAATTTGAACAAAAGTTAATAACAAGTTTCCTGGCATCAAAAGTGGGGGCACAAGGGAAAAAACAAAAAGAAAGTTCCAAGGTTTAGACTTCTCGACAGCATCTCTAAGGAAAAGAATGTTTCTGTGGCACCAAGACAGACAGTGTGGACACAGAAGACAATGAGCTGAGAAGAGGAGGTGCTGGCTGGGACTGGAATGAACAACATATTACTCCCCAAGGTCCAGTCTGTCTCCTTGTATCTCCAATGTGCCAGGGGTGTCAGGGAGCTTGTAGGATCTGCCAACATTACAGGCACAGTGGCTCCCTGGGGTCCAGGGAGCAGGAAAGGCCTCGTGGTTTTAAGGTAAAAGAAGCACAAACCCTTCTGTGCCTTTCTTTAAATATCCAGTGTTTCAGCTCCTTCAGGCAGTTTCCAAACTCGTGAAAGACTACAAACATCCCAAGGAAGGACAGCCAAGAAGAAACTCACCATTAACTGTCTCAGGAAGAAACCTTACCTTCTACAAAAGCAACACCAGTCAGGAGAGTGAACTATCTTGGAATCTGACTCTTCGATTTCCCTAAAGGTGACATGACCCTGCTGTCAAATAGCAACTTTGCTTCGTAATACTTTGAGCGTCACGTCACGAATGAACTGACAGAGGGTTCTGATGAAAGCGACCTCTGTGGCCAATGACCTAACCTCCAAATCCAACCAATCTCACACTCCCAGTCGGTTCCTCCCTAAGGACACTCTCCTGCCTCTACTTCCGTATCATCCACTTCCCAGTTCACCTTGGTCCTGTCTTGCCAGCTTTTTGCTCCCTAACTCCCTTGGGGGTGGGGGGGAGCATGACTCATTGTCCAAGCCCTCAGTCTTCTCTTCTACCCACGTGAATCCCTCCGAGAACACGCCTCCTCCTCTAGACTCACCTACGCCAGCAGCTCTCAGCCCGGAGATTCTGCCCCCATTCCAGGGGGCATCTGGTAATGCCTGGAGACATTTTTGGTTGTTAAAACTGGGGGAGGAGGCTACTGGTATCCCGTAGTAGAGGCCAGGGATGCTGTTAAACATCCTGCAATGCTCAGGACTGCCCCCAACAACAAAGAATTATCTGGCCTCAAATGTCAACCGTGCTGCTGTTCAGAAACCCTGATCCACACAGTACATTGATGACTTTAATTCATTCATCACTTCATCTGAAAAATATATTATTGATCTAAAACCTGCTATGCCCAAGTCACTGGGTAGGGAGTGGGGGACAGGGGGGGTTTCAGGGGGACTGCAGGTGCAGGGGTTAACCTGACGTGCATTATGCCCTGAAAGAAAAAGCATCTACCTGGAGGACGTGAGCCACGCCTCAGTCTAAACCAGGCCGAGTTCTAACCATTTCTGGGGTATCTCCACATGCACATGTCCCGAGCCAAACACTTTACCATGTTCCCTCTACCCACCTTCATCACCACCTAACTCATTCACTGTCCTATATTCTCTATACCCTCTATCATATCCCCCAAAACATCAAGCCAGAAATCCTGTCGAAGTTGAACTTCCTCTTGTCTAACACTGACTTCAAGGCCAAGTCCTTGTGAATTCACCCGGATTATATTTCCTAGACCTACCCCCATACCCCATGCCACCAGTCTCCTTCACTGCCCCTAGCTCAAGATGCCCTTTGCAGCCTAGTGCTTTGTAACAAAGAAGCATTTACAGTGTTTCTGTTACTGTTTTCAAAGTAAGAAATGTGTTAAAGGCAAATGGGGGTTGTGGAAAGAACATGCTTTGGGGTGAAAAGATCATTTGGAATTCAGTCTCCATTCACTAACTAAGTGACCTTGAACAAGTTACTTACTTCCCTGAGCCTCAGTTTCTCTCTATAAAAACAGACAATACCAAAATAACAGGTTTCTTTGCAAAGATAATGGAACCTGATGTATTATCACAGGTTTTCACTGTGATAGCTATGCAGATATTATAACTGAGTTTAATCTATATATGTTTTATGCTGTATGTACTTAAATATTAAATTTGTATAAACTGAAAATACAAACAATAATTAGAGTATTGTGCTTCTGAAATCTGCTAGGTTCCCCTGGAGCTTTTTAGATATAAACTAATTTTTAAGATCTTCAATAAAAACTTACTTGAAAAACGAACTCACAGCAAAGTAAAGGAATGGGTAATTTTAATAACAGCAACAGTTGTTTTATTATTATTTTATATAAGGCAAGCCCAGATGACATACAGGAACATATTTCAGTAAGCCAGAAAGCAGGCTTACTTTCAACCCTCTTACCCAAGCAAAACTGTTCTTAATTCACAAACTTAAAACTCCCCAAACAGGTTTCCCAGCCGTGTATTCACCGTGGTGCGAACCCAGCAATAGAGGGCTTATCACACTTACTTGTTCCATGTAATAAAAGTTGCTCTCTGTGTTGAAATGCCAAGACCAACAACTTGATTCATCTCTATTCCTGCAGCTAAAAATAAAGATGTATAAAACATTTTTAAAAGCCAATGAAGTTTTTCTTTATAAATTATAGTATGGAAAAGAAATTATTGAGCATAATCTTTAGGAAAAACATCTAGGGTTAGCATGTTTTCTTTTCCTTTTTATTGTTTCAATATTATTTTGTATTGGCATAGCACTTAGACAATCACATACCTTACAAAGTGTTCCCCCTGCTATTTCCAGTACCTACCTGGCATTTAAAATTTTTTATTATTATTATTATTATTTTTAATTTAATTTTTTTTCTTTATTGATTTTAGAGTGAGGGGAAAGGAGAGGGAGAGAGAGAGAAATATTGAGGAGATAAAACATCGACTGGCCACCTCCTGCATGCCCCATACTGGGGATTTGACCCACAACCTGGGCATGTGTCCTGACCGGGAATCAAACCAGCGACCTCTTGGTGCATGGGTCGACACTCAACCGCTGAGCCACACCGGCCAGGCAAAAATTTTATTGTTTTAGAGAGGAAAAAGGAGAGAGAGAGAAACATCGATGTGAAAGAGAAACATCAAATGGCTGCCTCCTGTATGCACCCTGACCGGGGATTGAACCCCAACCTAGGTGTGTGCCCTGACCAGAATCAAACCCATGTTTCAGTACATGGGATGATGCTCCAACCAGCTGAGCCACACCAGCCAGGGCCCTACCCAGAATTTTAATAACACCATCAGAGCTAATAAAGAAAACATTACCAAGATGATTCTGTAGTATTTTTTTTAATTATTGTCATATTCCAATATTAACAAAATTGCTTTTGTCTTTAAATGTTTGAAAAAACAAACACTATTAAAAGTAAGTCAGACCCTGGCTGGTTTGGCTTAGCAGTTGGAGTATTGGCCCAGGGATCAGAGAGTCCCGGGTTCGGTTCCCGCTAAGGGCACGTACCTCAGTTGCAGTTTGTCCCTGGCCCCAGTTGGGGTTGTGTGGGTGACAACCACTCAATGTGTCTCTCTCACATCGATGTTTCTCTCTCTCTCTCTTCCTTCCTCTCTCCCTCCCGCTCTATCTGAAGATAAATGCAAAAATGTCCTCGGGTGAGAATAAAAAAAGCAAGTCGGACTGTATTTTTTTTCTTGATAATACTAAAAGAATGGATCTCAATTTAAGCAATGATCAATCATAACAGAAGCTGGTAGATGGCAATAAAGGAAAATCCTCAGCGGAAGCAGTATCGTTATTAAAATTCAGATCTTATTTTCCACACAAACAGATGCTAGGATACAAACAATGAGAGGTTTTTTTGGTCTAAATGTCTTAAAATATAGCAAGTTTTTTTGTGATGCTATTTTTAAAAAGCATTTCGCCTGGCTGGTCAGTGAATTGAGCATCTCATCCCATGGACTGAGAGGTCACGGTTGGATTCCTGGTCAGGGTACATGCCCAGGTTGCAGGCTCGATCCTCAGTAGGGAGCACGCAGGAGGCAGCCAATCAATGTTTCTCTCTCACATTGATATTTCTCTCTCTCTCTAACAAAATTAATAAAAACATAAAAAAATAAAAACAAAGCATTTTTTCACCACTGGACAATCAGAGACAACTTCAATTTGAACAGAGGAAGACAAATCACCCCCTAAACAATCCTCCTTCCAAAAATACTTAACCTGAACCTAACCATGAGGAAATAATCAGACAACCCCAAAATGCAGGACAGTCTACTAAACTGGTCTGTAGTTTTAAAAACTGACAATGTCACGAAGAACATGCTCTACATTAAAGAAGACTATACAGATTGACTGCTAAACGCAATGCCTCATCTTTGGTTGAATTCTGGATTAAAAACAAAAGGTTAATGACTGGAGTAATAGGGGAATATTAAGGACTGAGCATTAGAAAATACTACTGTTGTGGATTCTGAGAAAGAAGATACCCATCAAAAAAGGCTCCTGGTGGCTAACTAGGCTCAAATTTTCAAAAGCAGAGAGCTCTCGTGCAAATGGCACTTGAGGAGGCAGCCTGCACTGTGAATTCTGCTGGTCAGCCCTTTCAAAGGAGTTCCTGGAATCCTGTTTCAGCCAACAGGACTGAGGCTTTCCCCATCCATCAGAGCTGTGCAGCTATATCCCCATCAACATCTTCACCAACCAATCAGAGCAGTTCCATTCTGATCTATTAGGACAGTGCCTTTTGGACTAATCAAACTGTGAGGATTTGGAGTCCTCATTTGCATGAAGAAAGACCTATCAGGAACCAGGGGCAGGGATTTCTGTCTACATAAGCCAGCTCCCCTCTGGCTCTGGGAGTCCACTTACTAAGGACTGAAAACTGTTTCCTTTGCTGGGCTGCCACACTGAAGATGTCACCAGAGCAGAGGTGAGCAGAATAGCGCAGAAGAAAGCAGACCAAAGCAGAAGGGCTAGGAGCAGGGCTGTCTAGCTGGAGAGGAGCCTGGGCCGCCTCACAACTGTGCTGTTTCCACAGTTATACTGTATCACAATTGAGCTATTTTGTACTAAAGTTTCCTTCTTCACTGCACCCCAAATGGGACTTGCTGGTGTTGAATTGGTGCCAGTGACCAGTTGACACTATACTAATGTTCAATTTCCTGTGTGATAACTGTACTGTGGTAACATAGAATACTCCTTTTCTTTGGAAATAATGCTGAAGTATTTAGGGATAACAGGTTATTATGTCACAACCAATCCTCAAATGGATCAGCCAAAAGGGTTCATAGAGGATGATACAGTGGATGTTGCAAAATATGTCTGAGTCTCAGAGAAAGGAATACAGGCATTCAGTGTACTGTTCCTGAAATATTTCAAACCTAAAAGGTGAGAAGGTGTAAAATGAAGGAAAAGACCTTTCAGGATATACATTTACAAGTCATCTTGTACTATATTCGTTAAAAAGGTTGCACTGAAAACATTTTTAAAGAGTTAAGATAGCGGACCATGGCTGCAGCCAGGAGAGCCCTTTGCATCAAGAGGCCACACAGGAAAAACAAAAACATGTTTTACATTAAAGGTTACTCAGTTGTAACTCCTGCCAGCAGGAACTGTGTGTTGTAATTTTGTTTATAACCCGCTGGTATTTTGTACACAACAGGAAATCAAAGGGGCACTAGCTACAACCTGAAATACAGAAGAAAGATGAGCCTTTAGACTGCGGCTGAAAAAGACCTGAACCAGAGCACAGAGTGCTACTACCTTTCCTTGAGAAAGCGGTTCACTATAAACTGCAATGTCCCCTGAAAAACACTGGGCAAGTGTTGTGAAAGAAAAACAGCAAAACGGAGTTGGATATTGTCAGGAGAGCAATCTAACAATGGAGCCAGCAGGCCTCCGGGAAACTCAGATAGCTTTGAACTGGGTGAAACCAAATGTCTACATCCTGATATCATTTCTAGAACTGGCTCTACATCACTGAACTCTGTTAAAAAATAAACTTTTCAGGGGGGATGGATGAGATGAACCAAAGAACTTATATGCATGTATGCATAACCAAAGACATGGACAACAATGCTGGAGGTGGGAGGGTATCTGGGGAGGGGGGAAACACCTGTAACAAAAATAAATTAATAAAAATTGGAAAATAAATAAACTTTTCACCTACCAATAGATATAAGCAATGAATCACATATAGCATAGTGGAAGTCCACTTGCAAGCACCAATCACAGTTCTTTCAAAGCAACTATGTAACCCTTTGGAAGGTCTCCTTTTTCTGTCTTCATGAACTCTGACCCTTTCTTTCATGTTTGAACACAGGGTTTCTAACAAAATATATGTTTCTGAACCCCAAGTAACACTTTTGTTTGCCTTGCCATTCTTGGTCAAAACTGACACTGTGACCCCAATAAAATACTACATGTATAATCATAACTTAGGAAGCCCACAAAATTCTATAGACTCTTCAGGAAAACTCTTATTACAAACAAAATATACCTTACTATTTTTATTTTAAAAATCCAATTACCTTTGACGGATTCTTTTATTACAGCAACAAATTGAAGCCAGAGAACATCAGGATCAATTTCAACCCAGCCAGGTTGAGGACAAAGACTTTCTACCTATGGAAAAGACAAGATTTAGTAAAAACAAAATGAGATCAAGTCAGTGTGTCTGGGTCTCAAGATGACTGGTTAATATCATTAACAACATACTTTTATTTATTATCTAATTTATTTTGATTGTTAAAATGGAAAAATATTTATATGAAATAAGAGAGGATAATACACCAAAGTAACAGTTTTCTTTAGTTCATAAGTTTACAGAAGATTTTAGCTTTCTTTATCTTTATTTTCCAAGTTTATTTTTATTTTCTAAGTTTTCTGCAATGAAGATGTGTTGTAGAACCAATGGTGTCTACACATTGTCTCTACGCGTGTCTACACGTCTCTCTCACATTGATATTTTTCTGTCTCTCTCTCTCCTTCCCACTCTGTCTGAAGATAAATGTAAAACTGTTCTTGGGTGAGGATTAAAAAAAAGAAAAGAAACAAACAGATCTCACAAAGTCTATTCCTTTCCTATTAAATAATATTTTTCTATGTAAGACTTTTTGTAATACCACAGACTATAATGGCTCAACTGCAATAAACACTTCCTCATCCCAAATAACTCCATGTGGATATCATCATTCAAGCCTACAAACCTTCAGACTTGATGGTAGCACCCCGGAGTCACTTCCCCACCCTCCGCCAATATCCCCAAACATGTCACAATAGTGAATTCAAACCATACTAAAATTAGATCAAGAATATAATCAAAGCTAAGAAAGTTTGTTTTGTTGATTAAAAACAAAAGGCAGATTCTTTTCGAGATTGTACAGAGGATACAGAGTTGGCATTCCGCCGTTTTCTTTGGAGTGGCCTCTGCACTATTCTTTCCAGCAAGACGTGAGCTACATGGTTTCTTCACAGGGGCATGCTGCTCCACAGGGCAACAGGGCAAACTTTCTTCAGTTTGAAAAACTAAAAACATCAAATATTCACATATGGGATTTTCAACTCTGAATACTATTTTAGGATATAACACCAATATTTAGGAGTCCATGAAAAGTGTGGTTTTTTAAATATTTTTTATCACTTTTAAATTTCAATTACAATTATACGTTATTAGTTTCAGTTTCAGGTGTATACACCAGTGATTAGACATTATATAACTCGCTAAGTGATCATCCCAATAAATCTCACACCCATCTGACACCATACATAGTTATTAGAATGTTATTGACTTTACTCCCTATGCTTTATATCTACATGACTATTCTGTAACTACCAATTTGTACTTTATAATCCCTTCATCTTTTCCACCCATCCTCCCAATCCCCCTCCCCCCTGGCAACCTTCAAAACATTCTCTGTATCTATGAGTCTGTTTCTGTTCTGCTTGTTCATTTATTATTATTATTGTTTTTTATTCAACTGTTGGCAGATACGTACTTATTGTCATTTTATTGTTCATATTTTTTAATCTTTTTTTTCTTCTTCTTAAAGAAGAGCCTTTAATGTTTCATATAATACTGGTTTGGTGGTGAACTCCTTAGCTTCTTTATATCTGGGAAGCTCTTTATCTGTCCTTCAATTCTAAATGATGGCTTTGCTGGGTAGACTAATCTTGGTTGCAGGTCTCTGCTTTTCATCACTTTGAGTATTTCTTGCCAATCACTTCTGGCCTGCGAAGGTTCTGTTAAGAAATCAGCTGACAGCCTTATGGGAGGTCTCTTGTAGGTAACTAACTGTTTTTCTTTTGCTGCTGTTAAGATTCCCTCTCTGCCTTTAAAATTTGGCATTTTTATTATGATGTGTCTTGGTGTGGACCTCTTTGGGTTGATCTTGCTTGAAACTCTCTGCACTTCCTGGACTTGTATGTCTACTTCCTTCACTAAGATAGGGAAGTTTTCTGTCCTTTTCTTTTCAAATAGGTTTTTAATTTCTTGCTCTCTCTCTTGTCCTCCTGGCACCCCCATGATGCAAACGTTGGTACGCTTGATGCTGTCCCAGAGGCTCCTTATACTATCCTCATCTTTTGTATGTATGTGTTCAGACTGGGTGTTTTTTGTTTATATTCCAAATCACTAATTTGATACTTGGCTTCATCTACTCTACTGTTGATTCCCTGTAAATTATTCTTCATTTCAGTTAATGTACCCTTCATTTCTGACTGGTGCTTTTTTATGCAGTTGAGATTCTCACTAAGTTCACTGAGCATCCTTATAACCAGTATTTTGAATTCTGCATCTAGTACATTTTGTTTAGTTCTTTTTCTAGAGTTTTGTTCTATTCTTTCATTTGGGACGTTTGTCTCCTCATTTTGGCAGCCTCCCTGTGTTTGGTTCTATGTACAGTGATACCTCGGTTCTCGAACATAATTTGTTCCAGGAGGACGGTCGAGAACCAAATTGTTCGAGAACCGAAGCAATGAAACCCAATAGGAAATAATGGAAACTGGATTAATTCGTTCCAAGCCCCAGAAAATGCCTATTTACTGGCCTAATTTGTATATAATATGTAGAAAAACATAAGTCTCAACAAGAAATAAAAGTGTACAGTATGTCTAAGGGTTAAATTCAGTGTAAAGCGTGACTCTCTCCACAAAGCGTGACTCTCTCTCTGCACTCACACTGATGCCGCAAGCCAGGCGCGCTGGGCCGAATGAACGCCATTCGGCTCCACTCGGCTCATCTCGGAAGTTCGAGTTCCAAATATTTGTTCGGATTCCGAGACAAAAGTTTCTCGAATCTCCTGGTCGAATACCGATTTGGTCGAAATCCGAGGCGTTCGAGAACCGAGGTATCACTGTATTAGATAGAGCTGCTATGTCTCCCAGGCTTAGCAGAGTGGCCTAATGTAGTAGGTGTTCTGTAGGGTCCAATGGCACAGCCTCCTCAATCATCCAAGCTGGGCACTCAAAACGCATCCACTCCCCCATCCCATGTGGGCTCTCTACACCGTCCTCGTGTAGTTGAACCTTAATTTCTGTTGGCATGTCAGTGGGAAGGATCTGCCTCCAGGCCAATTGGCTGCAAGGACTGGCTGTGATCACCAATCTCCAGCCACTGTGGAGGATCAGCTATACAGGAGCCCTCCGCACAGAGTAGGACTTATTTCAGCAGGGTTCTGGTCTGCTGAGTCTGCCATTTGAGTGTGTCACTGTTGGAGGTGGTTGTGTGGTGGTGTTCTGATGTGCTCTAAAGCTGCCCACTGGTTGACTGTCTCTGGGGCCTCTTAGAAGGTACAGGCCAAGGTGCAGCCACCGCCTGTGTTTTGCCCCAGGCCACCTGACATGAACTACAAAGCAATCTGCAGATGGCTACTAATTGTGCTGGGCTTGGAGGTGGCATGATGAGGCCAAGCTGTGAACCAAGGTCAGCTGCTACCGATGCTGGGCCTGGGGCCGCTTAGCAAGAGGTATGGAGCTCCAGGAGGCCAGATGTGCTTGATGAGAGATTTTAAGAAAATCTGAAGCATGAGCCAAGATAGGCTTTTGTACGGAAAAGCCACTGGAAACAGGTTGGGTGGGCCTGAAAGTTGGGTGGGGCACAGTGGAGCCAGGTTGATGGAGTCTCAGATATGGTGCCCACCTGCCAGCTCTTTGGGGGAAGGGCTCATCAAAGAAATAGTGGCCTCTGCCAGCACTTCTGTCTGGGAGAAAGCTGCGCCCCCCACCCCCCCGACACACACACACACACACATAGCTCTCTCTCTTATACTGAACAATTCAGTTCCTCCCTGTGTATCTCTGGTAACTTCGAGCTGCTGCCCCTACACTGGAGCTCTGAAGGAGCGAGTCCGAGTAAGTCTTGTATGGGCCCTTTAAGAGGAACTGCCTGGGCCCTGACTAGTTTGGCTCAGCGGTTAGAGGGTCGGCCTGTGGTCCAGAGAGACCCGGGTTTGGTTCCCGCTAAGGGCACGTACCTCGGTTGCAGTTTGTCCCCAGCCCTGGCTGGGTCATGTGGGAGGCAGCCACTCGATGTGTCCCTTTCACATCGATGTTTCTCTCTCTCTCTCTCTCTCCCTTCCACTCTATCTAAACAAAAAATAGAAGGGTGTCCTTGGATGAGGATAAAAAAATTTTTTTTAAAAGAGTACTGCCTGGGATTCTAATAGCCACAGCCTCACTCAGCCTCAATTCCCACTTGTTTTTGCAGCCAGAAGTTATGAGGGCTTCTCTTCCTGGCACTGGAACCCTGGGCTGGGGAGCCTGGTGTGGGGCTGGGACCCCTCGCTCCTTAGTGGGGGGTCCTCCCCGGCTGGTAACCCTCTCAATTTTTATCCACCACATGAGGGTGTAGGACCATTCCATGTCTCCGCCCTTCCTACCAGTCTCAAAGGTGCATCTGCTTTAATTCCCTAGTCGTAGGACTTCCATCCAGCTCGATTTTAGCTGGATCTGAATGATGGTTGTTCTGTAGTTTCGCTGTAATTTTAATGTGCTGTGGGAGGAGGCGAGCACCATGTTTACCTATGCCGCCATCTGACCAGAAGTCAAGAAAAGTCTTTTTTAAAAATAAATTCTAGAAAAAGGCTGAAAATGTACCTCTGCTGTTAAAAAGTGGACATCAAAAGAAATAAAACTGAGGTCTTCTGAGAGGCCTAGCAGTAGCCTGCCAATGTCAGGGTCCCTGCTTCAGGATTTCAATCGTAACGAAAAGACCAACACAGCCTATTTTGTTCCTGTCTCTAAATGGTGATCTTTTCAGTTGTCCTTTCTCTTTTTCTAAAAGCTATTTATTTAGCCCTGGCCAGTTTGGCTCAGTGGTTAGAGCGTCGGCCTGCAGACCAGAGTCCCGGGTTCGGTTCCCGCTAAGGGCATGTACCTCGGTTGCGGTTTATCCCCGGCCCCGGTTGGGGTTGTGAGGGTGACAGCAACTCAATGTGTCTTTCTCACATCAATGTTTCTCTCTCTCTCTCTCTCTCTTTCTCTCTCTCTTTTCCTCCCTCCTGCTCTATCTGAAGATTAATGCAAAATGTCCTCAGGTGAGAATAAAAAAATAAAAACATAAATAAATAAAAAAAATAAAAACATAAATAAATAAATAAAAGCTATTTATTTAGTAATAACAATCA